ACCGGCCTCTTGGTGCTCCTCCTCCCAATCTTTTCCCGCAATCTCTTCGATCCCTTGGGCCGCGCTTCTCCTTCCATGTTCTCCGTACGTCTCTCTCTCTCTCTCTCGCCGCCGAATCTGCAGATTTGAACTTCTCCCCATCAAAATGGTGTAGATCTGAGAAGTGTAGCCAAGGGTATAATAGTCTGATAAAATATTTAAATAATAAATTTTATCCTTTATGCAGGATTTTATAATTATGAGGGGGTTTAGAAAGTATAATTTTTTTCTTAGTCCTTTTAACAATGAAAGGAAGGTAAATGGGGTTTATAGCCAAATTTCCCTAATTTGTATATATAATTTTAGAAATTTTGACATAACAAAAAGGAGAGAAATTAGGAAATGTCCACTCAGTCTATAAATCTAATTTTGAAATTTGTTTGTCCAAAGGTTCACACTCTAAAATACTTTGTTCATAAAGACAAGCTCCTACAAAATGACCAAATTACCCATGTATATATATATTGTTTTCCAAACCAAACCCTAACTAAACTACTCTCTCTCTCTCCGATCTAAACCCTAGCCACTGCCATCTCCGCCACCTCTTCGTCACCGCCTTCGTTAATGGCTTCGGCAACACAGATCCATGCAGATCTCATGGAATGAATACAGATCTACAAATCTAGCCAACCCCACGCCATCGTCATAGTACAACTCGAACCTCTTCATCTCTCCGCCGTTGCCATCGGCTGGACTGCGCATCACGATGATGCCTCGGAGATGCAGTCACAGTCACCGGTAACCATGGCTTACAACCTAAGCGTAAAAGAGTGGGACTCCAAACCTTGCCCTCCATGCCTTAACATTGAAAAAATATTCTCAACAGCTAAAGAGGTCCCCAAGCCAACTAAAGAAGTCCACATCTGACGAAATTAATTCATTTGATCTGTGTGTCTTTGTTTGGTTGGATCTAATCTGATCTGTGTCTTTGTTTGGATTTGATATGATCTGTGTGTTTGGTTGAACCGATAATTCCTCACTTTCTCCTCTATCTAATTTGCACAAATAAGGGTTTTTGCTTTTGTTTTTGTTTTGGTGCATTGTTTTGTTATTTTCTTGTATTTAATGACACATATCGATGATGGCACATATCTAATATTAATAAGTTTTTTTTTTTTTTTTTTATAGTAGTTGTTGTGGTGGTGGTAGTAAATTTGGGGAGCAAAGAACTCCAACATACAATGGATTCAAAAAAAATGGATAGACGTTTTTAACAGATTGGAAAAAATAAAAATTGGAACAAAGAATTTTTTGAACAGATAAAAAAATGAACAAAAATTTTAAACAGATTGATTTAAATAGATAAGTGAAAAAATTGAACAAAGAAATTTATAGTAGATAGATATTCCAACGGATAGTTACAAATTTAACAAATAGTTAAAAAAATTAAAAAGATAAAAAAAATATTTGAACAGATAGTTAAAAAATTAAATACATAGATTAAGGGATAAAATTGAAAACAAAATGTCCTTCAAAATAATAGATTTTTTACCAAACTATTTTACAAAGGGTGAACCTCTTACTAAATTTTTTTTTTTATACTAAGGCCTCGTTTGGGAACAGGTTAATTTAGTAACTTTTTGGCTATTTAGCTAAAAAAGTAGGTAAAAAAAATTTATATGTTTGGGATGACTTTTTGGCTAATTACGAAAAGATGTGCAAAAAGTAGAGAGAAATTAGAATTTTTGACTTTTTTGTATGAATTGTTGACTTTTTAACTAAAAAAATAACTTTTTGACTAAAACGGTAAGTCTCCAAACGGGGCCTAAAACTAGTGTCTTAAACAGTTGCTAAATTCGACTTTTTAACAATTAGAAAGAAGGAAATAAAGTGGGAGGATGCGTGATTTATGGAATTAATTAGGAGAGATAAAGTTATTGAGTTAACTAGAAAATAACTTATAATACAAACAACTAATAATGAAAATAGAAAAATTAAAAATAAGAAATGTGCAGGTTCTCCGTTGGGGCACAATTATATATAGAAGATTTAATCACGTAATTAACTTTTATAAGACGAACATGAGATCAATTCCAATAACTTAAAAAATCGAAACTAATATAAATCATATGTTGGTTTAAAAATAAATCAAAAAGGAGATGCATCATTCTAAAAAAAATCAAAAAATCAAAATAAACCAAATCAAACCAAATCAAGTCTTAAGTGCTATCAAATGGGTCGGCTATATGAATAACTTCTCCACTCGACTTTATCAAAAGTCATTTGATTAGTCAAATTAAGAAGTTTCATATCTCTATTTACTACACTAGACCATGTCAATCTAAGTCTGTCCCTTTTCCTAAGTCTTCCCTCTATCATCACTGTATCACATTTCTTCACTACTGTTTCTGTTGATTTCCGTTATATATGATCAACCCGTGATCAATGTTAGATCCTAATCCTATAAAATAAAATTTTCATATCAATTTCAGAATGTCATAAAATTTTACGTTCTTTTTTTACCATCCTGCAAACCCGTAATCATTTATTAATAAAATAAAAAAACAAAATGGAAAAGTCCATTTATAAATACACTACTTTACATTAAAATCAATTTACAAATTGATGTGGATTTACATATAACAAAGCTTGAGAATACGTATTTAAAGTGAGACTCATACATAAAAATGACTTAACCACATTATCACCCAAACTATAGTGGGCCTCACTATAAGAATTAACAAGTTAGCAACAAAAAAATTGGTCGCTAAAAGTCTATTTTTGGTCGGTAAAAGTTATCCGCGACCAAATTTTTTGGTCACTACTTTGGTCGCCAATTGAGGGTCGGCAAAAGTAATTCGCGACCAAAATTATGGTTGGTCGGCAAAAGTTGGATTTTGCCAACTAAATTTTTGGTCGCTAAATATTTAATTACCGCGACTAATTTATTTTGTCGCCAAAACACTTTGGTCGCGAAAAGTGATATTTTCCCGACCAAATTTCTTAGTCGCCAATTGTCACATTTGGCGACCAAAAAGTTTGGTCGCCAATTATTACATTTCGCGACCAAATTTTTTGGTCGCCAATTATCACATTTTGCGACCAAAAAAATTGGTCGCCATTTGTGTCTTTTTGCGACCAAAACTTTTGGTCGGCAAAAGTGAGATTCCACGACCAAGAGCTGTTTTGGTCGGCAATACATGTATTTTTTGCGACCAAAACTCTTGGTCGGCAATTGTCATTTTTTGAAAAAAAAAATAATTTTGGATGTTGCAACTAATAAATTGGTTGTCAAAGCAGGAAAACAATACACCTGTAATGATGTTATAATTCAATCAATCCATAATAAATCTATAATTTTAAAGCATCATTCAAATTAACTGAATCATTAACATTCGACACAATACATAATTCATTAACATTCGACACAATACAACTATTCTAAGTTTTCATTCACAAGTCACATCCATCGCATAACAAATTGAAACAATACATAATTCAGATTTACAGCATCATGAAAATTGCTTAATCCACTAAGTTGTCTTGATAGCCAATCAAAAAGATCCTTGCGCCCTTTTGTGCCAAGCTTCGCATCCATCAAAGCAGTAGTGATGTAAGGCACCTAATAAACAAACAGAATTGGAAAATTTATCAGAGAAGCATGATAGTGGCAGCAACATTGGATTGCAAACCCGTATCTTTGCAAAAATCAATTAAATCCTATAAACATGTACATCGTATTAAGACAACTAGCTGGCATAATAAAACTGTACCTGTTGTTGTACCTGCAAATTTCAATACACGATGATTAATAAGCTAACAGCCATAACAACCCTGCCAGTAAGATAAGCAAAAAAGTTAAATACCTGTGTCATTGTCAAATCCTACTCCAACACAAATAAAATTCAATGATTGCTAATTGGAGGTTGAGCAGTTCTATCAGACACTAATTACTTCTCTAGGTAGCATATCTTACAAATGATGAGTTATTGAAGACCTAACATGAACTTATTCGGGCATAGTTAACTATCAAAGCTCCATTCCCTTTAAATGACCTAAAATTTGCAATTCACCTGAAGTGGGCCCTTCAGCACAATAAATATTTTCTTACTTTCCAATTTCCCAATAGGCAATAACATAGCACATAAATTCGAGGAATGGCACAAGTGACGTTCCATACAGTGGTAAACCCAACGTCATAAACTTTGACGCTCTTTCATTCTTCCCTTCATGATCACCAAAACTCATGGTACATGTTCAAGAGAAATCAGAAAAACTAAGTATAAACATTGGACATGGAGAGAGAATAACCTCCCAGCCGTTCTTTCCATACAGCACTCGGGAACTTCTGGGGTTTCCAAATCAATTTTTAAATACCAAACACTGCATAAATTTGATAAACCTCGAAAATCAATTTATACACAGAAAAGCAAAGGAAGCAATAGTTGCAACCAAGACTAGAATATAGCACCTGCTGTTACCACAATTGAAAAGCTCGAAAGCCTCTTGAAGATTTGGTAATTGAGAAGCAATAACTGCACCATCCCTTAACTGGAGCGTTTCATGAGGTATGCTACTATACATCCTAATATAGCACCTGCTGTTACCTGCAACAATTTCGATGAAGAAAAAAAAACAGTTTTCATACGGACATGAAGAAATTCTTAGAGGTTTTTCATTTTTGTAAAAAGAAGAAAAATTCAGCCACGGACACAATAAATAATGATCATCATAATTATTCTTTTGTATGCAAACCACTATTATCAAGTGTATAATCTAAAGATATAATCTAACTGCACTCACTCAAAAAAAAGTGTTCTTATCCCAACAGATTAATTTTGTTTGGTTTGTTTTTCTTGTTTTCAGAATAAAATAATAATAAAAAGTTTGAAAACATCCATCGTTTCCTTCATTTGTGCAAAAACAGCTTTCGAAAATTTAAAAACTATTTTTTAGTGTTTCTTTAATAAAAAAAAGTTTTCCATATTTTTCGAAATATGAAAACAGAAAAATGAAAATGATACCAAACAGATTTAAAGTTTATTCCATAGAAAATGTACTAGTTGAATTGCAATATTTTCTCTCATGTATACAACAAATTTCCAAAGTACCACCAAGAATACATAAACTGGTACATCCCACTGATATTGCAAATGCACGAGTGTCTCTACTTGCAAAAAATAAATGAAAGGCAGCATGGAAAAATACCCAATGACGAACTTTATAATGAAGATGCTGAGAATACTAGTCAGGGTGCTAACCGATCAATTTTCCATACTCTTTTTTCCGTCAATCATTTCAGGGGAATATCATATCCTGTCAAAGGAATGAAATTCTATATTACCAGTGGTATTCACCATCATGTACAGAAACAATAGTTACCTGAATCAAATAAAAAACTTACAAAGAAATGGTTGATTATGCAACATGTGCTTATATATTTTGTTTCTAACATCTTTCCAACACCAAACATCATTTGCAATTAACACGCATTAAAATATGATTTGAAAATGAATGGAAAGATAAACTTAAATAATGGGGCAGAATAAGGAACTTTTCAAGCTAGATTCCAAAATGCTAAAATTCATCAAAAAGTGTGTGAAAATCAAATATGAAAAATGTAGATAGATCAGTCACAACTTAACAAAATGTAGGAAAATCTTGCTTACACAAAATTCAGATTTATATAACATCGAAACAATAAGATCTACCACACAATACAATTTTCTTCGCTTTTTCCTTAAAGGTCATAGAATCCTCCAAATGTCCCATTTTATTTTTCTAATAATAATGATAAAGTGTCCCATATTGCTCTCCCTTTTGTCGCCCACACAAACTTCTAAAACTACTCATGAAACTATGGGAGAGAGTAGTTGAACAGAGATTAGGATATGCAGCAATAGTTTTAAATGAGTAATATGGCTTGATGCCGCAAAGATCCACTATGGAAGCTATTTTTCTACTTAATCGACTAATGAAAAAATATAGGGAAAAGAACAAATATTTCCATATAGTGTTTATTCACTTACGAAAAGCATATAGGGTTATTATGACGAAATCTGTTTTGAGTCTTTGAGATGGTATGGAAATGTGAAACATAAATAGTTAATGCATCTATAAGAAGGAGTGATTTAATCCACATTGATGTTGCTAAAAAAAATATATAGGCAGTGAGGTTATGAGATGAAGACATGATTAATCTAAACTTAACTGAGATGACTGACTTCAAACAGATGCAAGTTAATTAATTATATGTACCGTATCAAGCCATTTTTTAAACCATTCTATAGCTGAATTCTGAAGACGTTAGATGTTCAAATCCTGATCTTTAATTAATTTTTTTGCCCTTGTGTGGAACAAGAAAACTTCCCAAGCAAAACCATTTGAAGTTTAGAGTTGTCTTTTGTGTTAGGCAAGATTGATGTTAGTTTCTCTAGTTTTTTTTTTTTTTGAACCTCATTGGCATGGGCCATCATAACGACAGCAAATTCAGTGATCAAATCAGAGGCCCACACTAGGCTTAAGGTCAGTCCTAATTGAGAGCCATTGATTGGTAGATTACTACATGCTCATGCAGATAAACAGGGTAACATGCATTAAAATCATGTACTTACTAATACCCCGAGGAGCAAATATTTTAAATGACGCCTCAACCGCTTCTTTGCCATTGATTGGCAGATTACATGCTCATGCAAATTTTTAATGGGTTTTTTTTAATCAGAACTCCAAAGAAATAACTTACTTGGCAATATTTATGTGATCCATCTCTGTCAGCATAAAGATTTCCAAGATTGTTGCATATGGGACACCATTTTTGCAGTCAAAAAAAAGTATGCAGTCTCTTTATTGCTACAATTTGATTAGTCTCAAGATTAAGACCTTTTTGAACAATACCGTAGGCGCTGAGTCCAATAACCTTACCCAGCTTAGTTTATTGACAACACACAACATATATAAATTGATTAATGATGATTATGATATTGAACTACACAAGCACAGCACATATCCTTAATAAATTCAATTATGCCAACCGGTAGAGATATGTGATGTCGTACAAGTATAGCTAGAGAAAGAAGCAGCAGAGAAAAGGAAGACAATTTTAGATATGAATGTTCACAATATATTGGTTCACAATATATTGGTTTCACAATATTATAATATTATCATTTCAAAATTATAAAATTGTATCACATCATCTATTTGTATACTAATTAATTTTCCAAGTCTGTTTAAAGTGATGGTTATGTTTGATTGGTAAAAATAACATATGAGACTAAGAGTTATAAATCTCTCCCATGGTGCAATTAGCATTTCTGTAGGGTAGGATCGCACACTTGAGTTCAACTTACATTAAATCGTTAAAAATTCGTTTAAGCTTATCATATAATTAAGTCAAATTTGAACATATTTTAAAACTCATGAATTTTTTAAGCTTAACTTTCACCATAAAACTGTATATATATTTAAAAAAATAAAAAATGAAAACCTATATATATTTTAAAAAATATAAATAAAAAACCCAAATAACTCAAACTCAACTTCATTTAAACAACTCAAAACTCAACTCATTTACAACTGAGCCACATTAGACAAAACTTTTCGTGAAAACATGGCTTTACTCAATCCTAGGTGTAGATCCCCATATCCTTCTGTACCAAGTAAATGGCTTCCACACTAGTCCAATTTTCTCTTTTTAGCACCTGGGACATTGCATAAACTAATGGCTAAAGCAACCTCTCTCTAATTTGTAAAACAAATTAAAAGCACTAATCAACAATGTCAAAAGGGAATGCTCACTGTGCACCGTCCTAAAAGCATATCTCTGCCAACATTTAGTGTTAATCTTATCCATTAACACTAACCCAAATAGTCAGTTACCAACAAATCACGTGTATCATTAAGTTCAAGCACAATACCAAGAGAGTCTAATCCAGGACATCCAAATTAATAGTCCGTCCAAAATTCCAGGCAGTTTAATTAATAATTATTGCCAATGACTCCATACAATAGAAACCAGCAAGCCCACCTAGATTTCAATTACATAATCATACATTTTATGTCAAAAAACCAAAATCAATGTATCCCAAACAAATATTCTTTCCATAGGTTAGTTGAGGATATTTGGAACACTAATGTCATTTTGCTTTGTAGATAGATTGCAAGTCACAGATTCCTCACATCTTTCACCACCTACTGATGTGATACCAAAATCAATCATGAATTTCCTTCACAAGTATGTTCAAATTTGAGTTTTAACAAACAAGTTACCTTAATATGCTTGAAAGATTACCAAATGCAGCAAACAACATTGTCTCTAGCATTAATGACATATTTCCAACTTCCATGATTACATCTAACAATATGTTTATACAACACTGTTCAAACTGATGCAAATACACATATAGAAATAGATTCAGAATATAAAATTTTCTCACTTTCTTAACTCAATGTGGTAGAGAATTGTTTGTGGATTATTTATGAAATTTGGGCAGCAAATTAACTCAAAATGTGATTCGACTTCAAAAATATAACAATCCACATTTCTCTGTTCTCATTCACTGATAGCAAGATAATTCCTACATTCAACCAGTCAGGACCAATGTTACTAGAAAGATGATTGTTTTGGTATGTGGAATTCTAGTAACCGCAAACAACATTGTCTCTAGCATTGATGACATATTTCCAACTTCCATGATTACATCTAACAATATGTTTATACAACACTGTTCAAACTGATGCAAATACACATAGAAATAGATTTAGAATATTAAATTTTATCACTTTCTTAACTCAATGTGGTAGAGAATTGTTTGTGGATTATTTATGAAATTTGGGCAGCAAATTAACCCAAAATGTGATTCGACTTCAAAAATATAACAATCCACATTTCTTTGTTCTCATTCACTGATAGCAAGATAATTCCTACATTCAACCAGTCAGGACCAATGTTACTAGAAAAATGATTGTTTTGGTATGTGGAATTCTAGTTACCATGGCTAAACCTCAACAAGCAGGTCAATATACCATACCCACTGAGGATATTATATCATGTTTCTCCTACTCAATGCAAAAAACTAAATACGGTCTATTGAAAGATAATGGAGAAAAGCTTCACTCTCAAATACCATGAAAGACAGTAGAAGAGAAATCAATAATTGAATCCCAAACTCTGCTGCAAAGCGGGAGTCTTGTGCTGAGTACGACCTTTATTTAATTGACAATAAGCTATGATCTAAATATGAATCAACCACTAATTTTCTTTTTTTCATTATTAATCAAAGTTTTTGGTACTTACTTGTTAGGGCGTCGCATTAAAACGTAATATATTGGATCTTCTGAAGATTCTCCAATTGACAATTTCAGCAATTGCAAAACAATGTAACAACATGTTGTAATGCCGTAAAAAAAAACAAGCAACTTCACATCAAATCTGTAACAAAGATCTAGATTTCACTATACATGGTGGCAACTCATTAACATATCTAAATAAAAATTATAAAACTACAGTGTAATCAATTCCTCAAAACATATAAAATCAATTCAAATTAAAGATAGAAGATTTCTATATTAGCACCATAGCAGAACATTTAGCACCATATCAGAACATTTACTAGGGGGAAAAAAGGATAGAACATAACATAAAATTGAAACTAATTTCTAATAATTGGAACAAATCGATGACTGAAAAATGCTGAAACAGAAGTGGGCATTTACCTCATCTTGGGATGTGTTTCTGATTTGGGAAATGAAACGCTGCTTCTTCCTATGAATTTGTTGGACCTATTTAGTCAGTCATAGATTCTTTTGTAAATTTTTTATGTTTTAAATGTAATTTCAAGAACTTATATATGAGGAATCTAGTTGGACAAAACTGGTGTAATTTGTCAACTTAAGTAAATTTTGTTCTAGTGTCTTTAATCCAGTTTAGTTCTCTTGGCACAAACAACACAATTGGGGAAGAATGAGATAGATAAATATTATAAAAGCAAATACCTTTTTCTTCTCTTCTTTGTCAAAAGGCTGTAAAGCCTTGAACACTCGGCAAAAAGAACAATCATCACAACCAGGCAACGTTGTTCTAAGCATAGCAATTATGGCTCTGACTACCTATTATAAGAAAACATTAGTTGGTTCATAACCAATAATCATGCTAAACTTTCTGTGCATGCATGTTTTAAAATGGACAACAAAGGAACAAGATGTGCTCACATATCATACAGGAAAACTGTTGCAAATTACAGTAGTTTCTGAAATAAATATTGGCATTAAAGAAAAGCTGAAGGAATTCTGCATTTTTGAGTGCATCAATCAAAAGTCAATTCCAATCAACCAGCAACAAGATTACTGGAGTGCAGTATAGCTCTACAAATTTACAGATATCAACAAATAACATTTCCATTTATGAACAACAGGGAAGTCAGCAACCTTTTTTCTATAGAAGGCCACACCATGAATGTTGAATGGTATTTTCCTGTCTCGGAAAGCTGCTTGAAACACTTTTCCTGACACCTGATGTATGAAAGGCAGAGCTGTAAACTGTTCAGAAAAGTCACAAAAGTTTTTTTTTTTTGTTGGAAACTCATTATAGAAGGTATGCTTGACCTGCCTCCGGTAAAGAACATCAATATTGCCATAAGAGCACTTAGCAGATGAACCTTCAGATGTAATTTCTAAGATCTTATCAACAACAAATGCACACTGTGCAACCTCAGTACAACATTCCTTTACAGAAAGCTGCATATGGAGTCAAAAGAATACAGAATCTCTTACCAGTTTCAACAAGAGTTAGTAGTGTGGTTTCAATATTATTTCCTAAACCTACTTGAGTAATACACCATTGATAGGTTAAACAAGTGCATTGTAAAGTAATTTAAAGCAAAGAAACACTTCAAACTAACACAATTATCCCCAATTCTGGGATTTTACACATATTCTACACATCAAAAAAGTCATTCCAATGACCTCCAAATGGAAAAGCCATAACAACTTCCCAAACCAACAATTCATGGGTGGCTAAAGAAACAGAGTGAACTCAAGGTAGAAGAAGAGAAATAGAAAACCAAAAAAATTGATGGAACCCATTAATGGGTTAGGCTTGTGGCTTAGAATTTTGAGAAGCCTAACAGACATTTTATCAAACAGTTTGAAGGCAAGAAAAAAAAAACAAAAAACACAGATCCTTTGTTATTAAAGTTTTGCTTTTAAAAAAATGTACATACACAATCAATTTAAGTTGGGCCTTTTAAAAAAATGTACATATTCAGTAAAACAATGGTTTGAAATCACCTTATGATCGTCTAAGAAGACCGAGATGCTAATCTTTTAAGCGAGTTCGCCACATCAAGATTGTCTGGGATGTGAGGGAAGAAGATCAGGACGGGAGAGTGGATTCCCATATCTCTATCCTCATCTGATTGTTTGAGATAGAGTGAGGATGAGAGTGAAAGATCAATCGATTGATCATGAGAACAAGAACGTGACAACAAAAGCATGAGAATGCAACTGAAAGAGAGGGAGAGTTGACTGTTGGTGACAAAGTTCAGAGATCGTGAGAGTTGAGAAGAAGAGGCACTGTGAATTTGTTAGAGATTGTCGATTGATGAAGGGCAAGTGGAGAAGAGATGGACTGTTGCACTCAAAAAATTTTCAGACAGAGATAGAGAGTAAGAGCGGGAGATATTTTATATGGATGGTTATTGGATCAGCTGTAAAACGATCTTACTTTGCGTATACGGACACATTTTAGAGTCTCCTTATGGCGAGTGTGGTCTGAGGATATGAGGATCAACGAGAGATCAATGTGGTCGTAGGTCGAGTGTGGTCTGAGGATCTATGTGAGAGAAAGACAGAGGGGAATGGCGAATTTCAGATTCCCGCCCCACGTTTCAAATTACCCCCCAAAATTTTTTGCGACCAAAAGACTAAATTAGTCGCAGAAAAAGGTACCTTCGCCGACAAACATTTTTAGTCGCCAAATCTCAATCAAAAGCGACTAAAATATTAGTCGCTAAAAGTACTAATTTGGCGACTAATTTTTTTTGGTTGCCAAAATGTGACCTTCCGCGACCAAATTTATAGTTGGTCGCCAAAGGCATATCACTTTCTGCAACCAACTCATTTTTGGTCGCCAAAATATGACCTTCTGCGACCAACTCATTTTGGCAGCCAAAAATAATGATCATTCGCGACTAATTAATATTTTGGTCAGCAAACGTCATTTTTTTGCGACCAAAATTTTTTTGGTCGGCAAAAGTGGTCGGCAAATGTGTAAATTCTTGTAGTGCTAGCTTGACCTATAGCTTAAACTCCATAGTGGAGAGCAAAATGATTCAACCATTGATGCACATACTTCATATACTCTTCATACTCTTCCTAGGATTTTTTGGATTGGGAAAGAGAATATGGTTTTTTTGGATTGAATAGAGATCATCTTTGATTTGGGGGTTTGGAAGGAGATTTGATTACCAATTTGTGGAACTCATTCAATTTATATTTGTGTGCAACAAAATATTATGGGATTAGTAATTCTATGGGAGTATGAATTGCCTCTCATGGTGGGATTAAAATTCCCATGGGAGAGTTGGAATAGTTAAGAATGGTGTTATTAGCACCCCATAAATTATTTTGGATCCTCCATTTCTTTTGGTCCCCATTTATAAATTTTGAAACCCTCAAAATTTCTTTTCCCCCCAAATAATACCAAAATTATCCTTGTGAAAATATTTTACCCATCGAATGCACACCCCCTACACCCCAACACCCCCCAAAAAACCATCTTCTAAAAAACCCTAACAAAACCCACCAAGAAGAAGAAGAAGAACCAATGTGATTACTGTCTCTGCTACCTCATCAACCATTGTCACAGTTGATATGCTCTCTCTCTCTATATATATATATATACACAATTTCTTAGTTTTCTCGTAATAATTTCTTCTCTTGCAAGAAAAAAAATTATAATTATTGGTTTGGTTAGTTTTGTTAGTAGATATTATAAAATTGTAAGTTTAGTAGAGAACTACGCAACAATATTATCAAAGTTACGCGATGAAGGAATAAATTTTGAACCTGATAATGGATTTGGACTACTTCTGATAACTTCTGCAAGTGTTAAAAATTTTGACTATTCAATGTGTTAAGAAATTTATATGTTTAGGCCTGTATTGCCGAACTTGAAAAAATGAAAACTTCTACGAGCTTTAACAAATTTGACCGTTCAATATGTTAAAAAATTTCATATTCGGACCTGCATTCCCGAATATTATTATTTGTTTGGGAATGCCTTCCCGAACAAATAAACAATGTTTGGACTTGCTTTCTCAACTTTCAGTCATATATTCGGGAGTTCAGTCCCGAAAAAATGATGAATAGATTTTATTATTTTTGCCATTTTTTTCAAGAAACTTAATCTTACAAGACCAATCTTTTTTGGGCTAAGAACCTCCTCTAAGCTTTTATTGTTGTACTCCTCTTGTCTTATGAAGTTGTGGTTACTAGAAAAACTTCTATTCATTGTCATTGCCGGAGAAATGTAAGTAGTCAAATGATTGTCACAGTTACCACCTGAATATTGCCGCCAAAGGGTTTTCAAGATTTTGAGGGTGGGTAGGTTTTGAATGTGGGATTTGGAGAAGATTGATGGGTGGTGATGAACGTGGGTGCTCTCATAAACCCTAATTCATGAAATAGTGGGTGTGTAGGTTTATTGGTGAGATGTGGTGTCTCAAAATTAATGATATCCTTTTTAGAAATTTTATTTGAGGTTATTATTGTAATAAAAAAAATGTAAAAAATTGAGGGGTTCAAAATAATTTATGAGGTACTAATAGTAAAGTTAATCCTCTCACACAAATTGTTGGCTAAAATACCATTTTGTCCTCCACTTTACAAAACTAACAAAATTATATTGCATGTAAGGAGAGCTTTTGGGGAATTTTATAGATTTAGTCCTAACTAACTAATACCATCACACTAGTACACCAAACAAATATACTTTATCTTACATCTCTAACCTAATATCACAGCACTAATCAGTGTGTCTGGTTTTAATTTTCGGAATTCAATTTTTTGAAAATTGAGTTTTTTATTTTTTGTATTTTTTTGTTTTTAGTAAATATTTTTAAAATTGTAAGAATTTTTTTTTTGACTTTTTTAGATGCACCTTACTTAGATAATAGTAGAATATTTGTAAAAAAAAATTTAATAGAAAGACACAAGCAAAACAAAAATCAAAAAAGAAAAAGACAAAAAGAAAGACAAAAGAAAAAGTTGGTAAATGTATCAAAAGAAAATTCAACATGCATTTGCAGTCTCAGCTGGTTTTGTTGCTGAGAGGGTAATTTATATGTAAATTGAGCCGAGCTGAGTGATGGGCCATTCTGTGGGCCACAGCAAAAAGGGCTGAGTAAAATCACCGTACTTATAATCTCATTCAATTTAATCCGTCAAATAAACGAGACCAAAGAATGTATTGGTGAGTTGATATTGATATCAATATTAACTTTTAAAAGCCACAAAATATACATTTTGAAAATCATATATCAATGAATAATTATTATTTTTTAAATAATTAATTAAGTAGATCAGCTAATAACTTGTTTCAAATATCTTTTAATAAAAAAAATCAACAAAATTAGTTGGAGGTCTTAACGCTCCCACTTTGCTAAATATATATACATCTTTGATTTGGGGGTTTGGAAAGAAAAAATACTAAAATAACAAAATACTACCAAAGTAAACTACTTCTCAATACTACAGATGAACACCCAAGGCCCAACACTGCTATGTAGCAGCAACAGCAACAAACTTGCAGCAGTTCTGAAAAAAGAGATTATTAAAAATTTTAGAAATCCCCTAGATGTTAATTTGTGATTATGTATCAATTTTAAGCAGTAAACAACAATCCCAATCAAATAATCAAGACAAATCAACACAATGATTTTATGTGAAAAAATCACAATTGGACACATCCAATTGTGATAAAAAAAAAATCACGGGCAATAGTCACAAAACAATCTACTAAGAAGATATAAATGAATTACACAGGTATACTCTCAATTACCTAGCGAATCCACGCCCGAATTGAACCAACCCCTATGTGCCTCTTCCAAGCCCATCTTCATCTCGGAATTGTCTTGACGATGAGCCACTCCAGAATCCACCAAAGTTTCGGGCTCAAATTCTTCAGAATTCACCGAAAAACAACTCTTTCTTTTGTATAGAATGAATAAACAAACCTTTGATGTATTCTTCTTAACCCATGAGTTGAATACTCAATTAAACATCAAAGAAAACTAGCAAAATATCTCCAGAGATAAATCTTAATATCCAAAAAGAAGATCTGGACAAGTAATCCTAAAATTTGACAGAAACTCGTACTTATAGAAATCTGAATCGCGACGTTCGCTCGAGCGAATACTCTTTCGCTCGAGCGAGGAACCAAAAACGCGTGTTTTCCATAAATGGCTTCGCTCGAGCCAAACAACCTGCACTCAAGCATAAAATCATTCTTCTCAGGTTTTTTGCCAGACGTAGCTTTCGCTCGAGTGAGAACTCCTTCACTCGAGCGAGCAAGGGCGGACATGCAACTTCGAATGCAATTTTGCATTTTGCTCGATCCCCGCGAGTTGTCCGGGCAGCTCGATCCCCGTCATAATCAATGAAGTGGCAATCATGAAAGTATTAACATCACAAACTTTTCTACAAGACATAATTCGGGTTGGATTCGCATCTAAAAACTCATAGCCTTACTGAAATAAAAAGTGCGAAAATAAGTACAACTGAAAGGAGTTTTGTCAAACGGGATTGCCAAGAATAAAAACCTAACAAGATTGAATCTCAGTATTTGAACGTAATCAGTGAGGTGAACAGTTTTATTCTTTTATGGGCTCCAAATTCCACGTTCCAATCCCTTTCCGTCTTTGACAAAAAACTAGCCATATCGACAACTCCGTGCTCAATCACTGCACTTAACTCCTCTTCTACAACTATAAATATGCGTATATAAAAAGAGAGAGAGAGAGAGAGAGAGAGAGAGAGAGGGAGGGATGATTTTGAAGACGTTTTGGAAGAAGAAAAATGGATCAAGTGAAGAAAGTGAAGTTGGGTTCACAAAGTAAATATTGACATTTTGGAGAGACATTTTGTAAATATTGACATCATCTATGTTGGAATTCAAATTGAATCAAAAGAGGATTGACAAACATTTAAGATTGGAGTCTGTTATTATTTTATCACATAGCACATGGCAACAAATAACTATTAACAAACCACACGACAAACAACATGATATAAATTTATAAAATGGCCAAACTCAGAATGTGAATGTTGACATTGGTCGTCACCCAATAACAAGGGAAACAATAAGATGTTATTATATACAACATGCCTATAAGAATTCAAATTGAACCAAAACAGGGTTGACAATCATCCAAAATTGGGGTTGTAATTATTTGATCACCATCAACAACCAACAACACCAATAAGTCTGACATTGACATAAGGGAAGAGATAGAGGGTGTATAACAAAACAATAACACATGACATGACAAAACAAACAATAGTAACAGAGAGTGTAAACATTTACATTAGTTCCTAACCGTGAATATCAATGTTGACATTTGGTTTCATACAATAACAATCCAATATTTTTTTATTTTATTTTATTTTTTTTATCAACAAAAGAGAAACTTTATTGATGAAAAATATAAACAAGCGAATAGCTTACATCAATAAAGCAGGGAAGTGCAACAAGCATCAAAACTAACTTAACAATCCCAACTAGGTTGGCACCGAAGAGCTAGCTCAATCATATGCCAGCACTAACCCA